AACAACAACAACATGAAGAAATTTTGTAACCTATTAATTGAATATTAGATTCAGTTTTGTATTGTATACTTTCTGATCATTTCAGTCTGTAAGGTTAAAACAGACAAAGAGTTGGTGTGTTATCATGTGTTCTTTCTCTCAGCCTAAACAAAACTGAGTGACGTTCTGACGTCTGACGTAAAAGGTAACACCTCTGAGGTGTAACCAGGAAGAGATGAACATTATAAGCTCAATTCATTATTATAGTGGAGAGAAGTTGTCAGTGTTTTGCAGAGTGTCTGCTCAGAGCAGAGCTCCCGTGTTTGTTTTGGTTTGRCCCAAGGTTGTACGCTGAGGCCTGTGCTGCTGAGCGCTGAATGAACCTGATTGGAGTCAGAGGACTGAAAATAAAGTTTTTAACAAGAAATCCAGCTAAATCCTGTTTATTCAGACATACTATTTTGAACAACGCATATTTTCTTACAATTAACAACAACAACAACAACAATAACAACACAAAAAAATTAAGAATAGATTTTAAGTCTATCATTAGTGTGAAAATGGAGCTATTTACATATATATGTAATTTATCATTTTCAAATGGTATATTTCCAGACAACATGAAGAAAGACAAGGCAATCCCTCTCTATAAAAATGGAGAGAAAAGTTTGTTTACAAATTATCGTCCAATTTCCTTGTTACCACAGTTTTCAAAAATTTTGGAAAAATTATTTGTTACTAGATTAGATTTATTTATTAATAAACACAATATGTTAAGAACCTGTCAATATGGTTTTAAGGCTAAAAATTCTACATCAATGGCTCTCATGGAATTAATTGAACAAATAACAACAGCTGTTGACCAAAAACAGTATTGTGTCAGTGTTTTTGTTGATTAAAAAAAAGCCATTGACACCATTGACCACACCATTCAGTTAAAATATGGTATGAGGTCCAGCACAGTGGGTATCTAGTTACCTGGAAAAAAGGAAACAGTTTGTTCAGGTAAATGATGTAAGATCTGAACTCTGCAACATTACATGTGGGGTTCCTCAGGTTTCTGTACTTGGACCAAAGTTATTTCTTTTATATCTGAATGATTTAGTAAATGTGCCAGGGTTTCTTAAATGTGTATTATTTGCAGATGATACAATGTTTTCTGTTTAGGAAAAGATATAGAACGAATGATGGGGATGATGCAAGCAGAATTTGGAAAATCTGGAAAGTGATTATAAAAATGCTGGCTCAATAAATTTATTTAAGAGAATGATGAAAGTTTAGATTGTTAAAGAAATATGAATTTGTATAATGTGCATTCATAAGAACTGTTGTTTGAGAAGGAGTTAAAGTTTTTTTGTTATGCTTTGTTATTTGAAGACTAGGCCTATTGTTTCAGTTAATTTATTTTTTAAAAAGAGGCAGAAATGAAGAATATTTTTCTTTAATATGTTTCTTTCATTTTATTTGTGCTGTATTATCATTTGTGGTATGTATTGCATTTGTTTTGTTTTTGAATGAAATGAATATTTTTTAATAAATAAATAAATAAATAAAATGGTAAGGGTTAAAATGATGATGTCTCTAAAGAAAAACCTCTCAGAAGGTAATTAAAATAATAATAATTGCTAAATTTATAGGCTAAATTTAGAAATCAAACTCAAGACATAAAGCAAAACATTAAAGTAAGAGAAATTTTCTTTGCCCTCATGTGATGTTTTGAGTCAGAAAAACTGGGCGTATTGGGCAAGAAATAAAGCCTTTCATTTAGTTTCAAATATCTTAGCTGACAAATTTATACTGACTTTATGAGCTTAACCAAGATGGGTGATTTCCTGAAACTATGTTGTAGTTTTACTCTAATAAGTTTTATACTTATGACACTTTTATTGTTTTTTGTTTTGTTTTGATGCACTGCTGGACAGATTTCATTTGAACATTTAAAATGACAAAACAAAGAAACAAACAAACAAAAAATCCCAAACATTAACAATAAAATTAAAAAATACCAACTCATAGAATAATATGCTCTCTTAAATACTGAGTGAGTAAAATTGTGCAAGTCACTTCTAACGTCTTAAACCAGGTCACCCATCTCACACACTCACAGTGGGATTAAAATCTTTAAAAATCCCACAGAAAAATTACACAGTTGGTGGAGCTGAAACAAAGCTGCTATTTTTAATCAGCACGTCTTCATTTTTTTTCTAACATGTTGACCTATTCTGCATCAGTCAGTGACAGATTTCAAAGGATAATCTAAGTGGACGCACATATAGTGAGCACAACATGTATGTTCTGGGTTCTATTGTCCAACAGTTCTTGGAGATGCACTTATTGCATTTATTAAAGCTGGTTCAGGTTTGCAATTATCTGCTTATTAAAAAAAGATTGACAGCACACAAAACATTAAATATTATTTTGCTTGACGGAAAGTTTGAGGGTGTGTTCTGTAAAATATTCACAGCAAAATGATTAACCATAACTTTTTTGTTTGCCACTTAATATTTAAAAATAAAGGGCTCCTGGTTACCAGACAGATACTGTATATTGTAAATAAACTGTAGCAGGTTTCCTTTATAAAATAAGTTATAGGGTTTTGAGTTATTTTAATCATTCCTACATATCTGAAAACAAAAATGTGCAGAATGCTTTTTAGATAAAGATTTGGGCTCAAATTAGATAGATAGATAGATAGATAGATAGATAGATAGATAGATAGATAGATAGATAGATAGATAGATAGATAGATAGATAGATAGATAGAT